AGAGAGTAATGGAAGGGGAGGGAGGGAGAAGGAATGGAAGGAGAGAGGTAAAGGGTAAAAGAAAGAGAGAAGTAAGGAAAGAGTGAGGTAGAGAGGGAAGTAAGGAGAGCGAGGTAGAGAGGGAAGTAAGGAGAGAGAGGGAGAGAGTGGGTGAGTGAAGGTCAGGGCACACAATCTCCCTTACCTGGATCAGAGTAAGATACAACACTGGTAGCCAAAACTGGTTAGGTAGTGGGCCGAGTGGAGGGTAGTTGTAGGGAAGGGGTGGGAAAAGGGAGGGAGGGAAGATTGAAGGAGGAGGAGAAGGAGGGATGGAGGAGTGGAGGCAGTTGTAATATAATATTTAGTCAATTTCGTCCATCTTTGCTGACATTTTCTCTCCTAATGTATTACTCTGGTACCCTGTTAGGTGTGTGTGTGTAAGTTTATATATATATATATATATATATATATATATATATATATATATATATATATATATATATATATATATATATATATATATATATATATATATATATATATATAACTGCACCTAAAACACCACAACAATTCCTAGTTGATACATCATGTACATTGTACAGTCCATCTCTTCAGCATTCCCTAGCCATGTCTCTGAAGTTCCTACATCACTTATTCTCTACGAATGAAATAGATATAGATGAAAGACTGCTTAAGGAGAGTAAACACAACATCTGCTCTTTAATTAAAAATAGTCGTGGCTTAATTCCACCTGTCTCGTACGTAACACCTGGGGAATAAGTACCATTATATCTGAGGTTCAGTAAATTATATTAAATGAATTTTTCTTTTGTTTATTCTGTAATAAGAATCATAGTTTTTTAATACCTGTTTTATAAAGTTAGGTTAAGGTATAGTAGATTAGGGTAAGTTAGGCTAGAGTTGGTTAGGTTAGGGTAGATTAAGTTTGGTTAAGTTAAGTTAGGTTAGACTGGGTTAAATAAGATTATGTTACGTTTGCTAGAGTTACGATACGTTACGTTATATTAAGTTACGGTAGGTTGTTATGTTAGCTTAAGTTAAAGGTTAGGTTAGGTTAGGTTAGGTTAGGTTAGGTTAGGTAAGAGAGAGAGAGAGAGAGAGAAAAAAGAGAGAGAGACGCACAATATCCTGGTTCGTGGGACACAGGAAGAATGAGAGGAGATATTTTTTTTCCTGAAGCATCTCACTACCAGGATGACTTCTCTATTTCTCTTATATTATCTCTCAACCCAGGTGTTCTAGTGGTAATTATCTCTCAGCACAGGTGTTCCAGCGGTAATTATCTCTCAGCACAGGTGTTCCAGCGGTAATTATCTCTCAGCACAGGTGTTCCAGCGGTAATTATCTCTCAGCACAGGTGTTCTAGCGGTAATTATCTCTTAGCGCAGATAGTCAAGGTGGGGAGGACGTGATATCTCCTCTTTGCACAAAAGTGTTTCAGTGTTCAAGTGTCGCTTTTCCCTTTCAGTAAATCTTATATCATTTTACGATATATATATATATATATATATATATATATATATATATATATATATATATATATATATATATATATATATATATATATATATATATATATATATATATATATTGCAATGTAAATACTTTAAGCAAGGCAAGACGCTAGAGTTTGTGTCACGCTAAATGAGACTTGGTGTGATAAGACAGGTTTTCAGAGTAAGCTTTGTCATGCTTTTTAGGGATAATAGCCATGTTAAGCATTAAAACGGAACGGAGTCTCTTGCAAAATGGAGAATAACATTATGGTGTTATTTTTATAAGTCCTTGAAAGTAAGTGTAAGTGTATTATAACTGATTCTGTTGCTAATAAGATTTATTCTTATTAAATAATACCTGGATTGATGTAGGTAAGGCTGGAGGTTATTGAGTTAGGTTAGGTTAGGTTAGTACTGCTAGCATTTAACCGATTAACCGATTAGTTGGCATTATGGTTATCTACAGGATTCTTATGTAACACGACAGACCGAATTTTCGAGAAAAATATAAATATATTAAAAGTTAACGTTATGCTGCAACCATCCATGATCCGTGAGAACTACTCCCTAACTCTTTTATGACACACCTGCCACTCCCCTCCCCTCTCCTCCCCTTTCCTTCCTTCTCCCTTCCCCTCTTCTCCCCTCTCCCCTCTCTCCTGTCTCCTTCCCTTCTCCTTCCTTATCTCCTTCCCCTCCCTTTTTCATTCCCTCTACTTCCCCCACCCCTTACAACTTGGTTAACTCTTACAGTAAACTATTCCAAATTGTAATCTTTTTCTTTCCTTTTTTAAGGAGGGGGTGATCGGTAGTGGAGAGCTTAATCCTGTCTTATATAATAATTCTCTACTGTATAAATAACTCTATCTGAGCTACTATATTTCCCGCGGGTGGCTGGGTGTACCCACTGTCTCGTCGATTGGCTAGAACAGTATCACCAGAACCATTGTGAGTCTTGGGAAATCCCAGCCACAAACCCGGTCGGTGGGAGCAAGACAGTGCTGGAAGGTAATGATGTAAGGGCGTGGTACTCACCCCCATTGTGCAGAGGCAGTTTGCGGTGTAAATATGGCGTGATCGTAATCAACGCGGAGGTTTTGTATTCAAAGTAAGATCTACCATCGTCCTGCACCTCTCAGTGTACAAACAACACGACTTACTGTAAACGTAATACTTCACAGACACTGAGATGAAAGCCGTGGTGTAATCCATATGCCTCATATCCCTCCCAGGCAACTAGACAACCAGATCACGCGGTTCTATCAAAACGAAAATCGATCTTAAATCTTGGGTGTGGGGTGAAACTACGTTGAGAACGTGAAGGACGACTCCAACACGCGATGCGCCACGGACAGGTGACCCCGCGTCTCCGGCCAACACCTGTACCACAGGACGTCGACGCAGGAGCGTACCATCCTGAGGGAGGAATAGTATGTTCGCCTCTCTACTGACTCAGGGGAAAATGGCCTGTCACTACATGAATTAACAGCCTTGTATTGCCTTCCTCCCAGCACTTACCAGATCCTGTTAGCCATCTTCCTCGGTCATCTACCTAGTGATTGTTCCTGGGAATAACACTAATTGGAGAGATCCGTCTGGCGGGGACAGGTGAGGGTTCTCGTCGTGGGACACCTGCCTCCTTCCCTCTCACCACTACGTCACTCGTCTTTAGTCTCACATATATCCGGGTTACATAAACATCATTCTATACATATTGCTGAGAGACGAAACCTAAAACACTGACATACATTCATCAAGTTGTGTCATATTTCAACCAAGGAACTGCTGCTACTCCCCACAGCGTTTACGTTCTAAGCACGGACATGAGGAACGATTGACCCGGATTAAAGGTGTAAGGTACAGTTCTCCCTGATTCCTGCTGAGACAATTACCTAATTCTGAGATAAGGGACTTCTCTTGAGTTTTCACAGCCCAGTAACCGTCTTCACTGACCTAACTGGTGGATGTTTGTTGAGGTTGCCTGAAGCTGTTGTTGAGCAATTCTTAGGTAGTATTGTATTTATTTCTTCTTCTTTGTCCCTCATATCTTCTTCAGATCTTTTTAGTTAATATTTGTATGATATTATTATTATTATTATTATTATTATTATTATTATTATTATTATTATTATTATTATTATTATTATTATTATTATTATTATTATTATTATTATTATTACATTTTCGCCCTCCAGGCCCAGATGTGGGTCAGTGACCTGTGCCCGAGTGGGCTAATCCTCGGAAAAAAAAAATATTACAAATATGACATATAATAACTAAATGGGGAGAAGGTTATAATACAGTGCATTTCAACTTAGTGACAATGCAAAAAGGTAAGATTGACTGGGCGTGAATACACGGGTTGATTACGAGTTGTTGATAATATTTACAATGGTTGGGATTGGGATGTTCTTAAAGCGATCAGTACGTGCTCGTATGGCTGGATGCGGTTGTGATGACGACCGACAATTCGCGGACGAGGGATCTCGGGTGGAAATAGGAGCCGGTGTCGAGGATGGTGCAAAAGCTTCTCACCAAATTTGCAGATGAGGTCGTGGTGATGGTCACTGGTCAGTGAGAGCCGAAAGGGTCAGTGTGTTGAGCGATTCTTGATATGTGGAGTAGGAAGAGGAGAGAATAATCTTGCATGACCTTTTTTTTAACTTTTTCTAGGTGTTTACGTTCTGTGGAATTTAGGGAGGAAGACCAGGCAGGGGAGGCATACTGTAGGAATGCTTGGGAAGTATGAAAGTTGAGTAAATACCGAGGAGCTCGGGTGCAGGAACTGCGAGAGACTTGAATCGGCGGAGGAGGTGGAGACGAAAACTGGAGGATTTGACAATTTCGCTGACGTGTGTTTTCCAATTTAGCTTGTTATCTATAGTGACGCCTAGGAGCTTAGTAGAGTCCACAATCTAGAGCAGGGGCTCTTAACCTGGGGTCCATGGATGGGCTTCAGGGGGTCCGTGAAGGTCAGATAAAAATTTAACATTTATATTCACTATATTTTAAGATTAAGTTGTTCTATTTTTGTCAATATATACCAGATGTTATGTATGTATTTTTGGTTACTGAAGAAAACCAGTAAATCTGTAGGGTGGCATGGGATGCTACTGTACACGGTCAGGTAACATACAATCGTCATCGTCGTCAGGTTTAGACTTCTAGAATGTTTACTTTATTCACACTTTGTGTATGTCATACACTGTATGAGGCAATGAATTTTCAAGAAATAAAGTATATTCATTGCATGCAAAGTTGTGTTTATATGCTTATGTGCATTTTTCTAGGGAGGGGGTCCATAGCTTTCACCAGATTCTCAAAGGGGTCCGTGACTCAAAAAAGGTTAAGAACCACTGCTCTAAATATTCTCTTGCTCTAATTGGGTTTTGTTTTGTTCTGTTGCAGATGTATATGGACTTATGAGTTAAATAAAGCCTTTATTACTGAAGGTGTTTGATCTCATACGACAAATTATTCAACTCATATTCTACTAGCAACATGGAACGCATACTCTGCCCCGACAAGCTTGATGTTGATCCAAATTCCCCAGCTGTTCAGAAGGAATACAAGCATTGGCGTAAAACTTTTGAAAACTTTATTAATGAGTGTGGAGACAGAGCGCCTGACAAACTACGATGTTTGACAAACTATGTGTCTGCTACTGTGTATGAATACTTTGCTGATGCTACGGAGTTTGAAACAGCTATACAAGTGTTGGAAAAGGTGTATGTGAAAAAGAAAAATGAGATATTCGCCAGACAACAGCTCGCCACAAGACGTCAACGTCCTTCCGAAACGATCGATGAATTTCTTCGCGACTTGCACAGACTCAGCAAAGATTGTACTCTAAAAGCTGTCACGGCCGAAGAATATCGTGAAGAGTTAGTACGGGATGTCTTCATCAACGGACTGTCTTCTGCAAATATACGTCAACGTCTATTGGAAAATCAGGCTCTCACAGTCTCTCGAGCTAGAGCCTTGGATCGTACACAGCATATTTAGGAAGCCTTCCAGCCATTAGGCCCTGTCATTGCAGCAGCTTCAGGATGTGTGGAGGAAGCTGTTAAGTCACCGTACACTAATCAACAAGATATACGTCCAGTTGAGGACTCAACACTTGCTAGTATGACCACTAAGAAACGATGTTGGTTTTGTGGTGGTAGTCTTCATTTACGGGCGAGATGTCCAGCTAAAGATAGTGATTGCTCTTCATGTGGAAAAAGAGGCACTGGGCAAAAGTTTGTCAGACTAAGGGTAAGAAACAGGTCACGGCATCAATTTCATCTCCTACTCTTTGTGCCATCTCAGCTGCTGTTCCGCATTGCCTGAATTGCTCTGTAGTCGGCTGAAAATATGGTTTGACCCCCAAAACATTCCTACAAAAGGTTTCTCAATTGTTTATTGTAGTATCAGGTGTGCTTAATAACATATCAAAAGTCTACCACAGTCTGACTACGAGAAAGGTCTAATTTTCAAGATGGCGTCGAAGTTAGCCACCACATCCCTAAAATGCCCGCTACTCCTTCATTATTCATCCTAAACAAGTAATTTTGCTGCCTAACCCCATGTTTTGGGGATCTAGGAATCTAATTAGCATATCTAAATTATAGTGAAGTCATTACATAATTACATAATTTAAGATGGAGGACCACTATGGCCGCCAAACTATGAAAATGCCTATTACTCTTTCTAATTCATCTTAGACAAGTAATTTCATTGTCTAACCCCATGTTTTGGGGATCTAGGAATCCAGTTAGCATATTTAAAATAATAGTGAAGTGATTACAGAAATACAAAATCCAAGATGGCGGACAAATATGGCCACCAAACTATGAAAATGCCAATGACTCCATCATTATTCATCCTAGACAGGTAATTCTGGTGCCTGACCCCTTGTTTTGGGCATCTAGGAAACCAATTAGCATATTTAACATAGTGTAGTGATTACTGGTAAAATGTTATAACAAATCCCATAATATATATTTCTGAAAAATGCCTTTGATCTGAACAAATAGTCATTACACTCTTCCTCCTGTAAAGGTTGATTATATGGATTCTCATAGTTTTCAATTTGACATGGTCCACAAGCGGGTGTGCATGGTAGTCCGTATCCTCTGCAACTACAACGTGTTCGGCAGGCAGTTGTGCAATTACAGTGGACCATCTGCAGGAGGCTTTCTGGCACAGCAGTTTTCTTGGTCATAACTGGCACAAACTGATTGTCCTCCAGTTTCCATCCCCAATCCACTGCATTCATGTCACTCTCCTTTCCAGTCCACACCATGATCTGGTTATACACTCTAAAGCTATGATATTTAGTCGAGGACTTGGTAGGAGGGAGACGTTCTGGGAAAACAAATGACTTGGCGGAGACAATTTTCTCGATCAAAAGGTTGTAGCGCAAAGAGGCAAGTGAATCGGTACTCTTGCCACCAAACAGAACTGCCATCGCCTTGCTCCCAAGGTCTTCTATGACACTGTTTGCTTGATTTGGGAGCAGAAACGCATTCGCACAGGTCTGAATGGTCAATTCACCATTCACAAGTTTCTGGAACGCTGACTTTTTGCCAACACTGAAAATGCGGGAAGTTGTGTCACATCCTGTGAAAGCGTGGATAAACAGCAACTGAGAACACCTGTCACTACCCAGGACTTGCTTCATCTCACTAATGTTGTACACCTTAGGAACTGTGGACTTGTCCGAACGAAAATAGAGGCCCCTATTGTTTGCTTCAGCATAGTAGAGGAGAAGAATGAGCAGGTCTGTATCCTCCCCTATCAAGGTCGTGAGCTGATGTTGTGACGCCTTGATTGCAGCCTTGACATTGTCCATGTCTGCATCCCCTAATGCAATGATAACAGTGCAGCCCTTCTTCTGTAGTTCCTCGGTTACAAGATCAATAAGTCCTTGTATGTTGCAAGATCTGGAAAGGAAATCATCCTTTCTTCCAACAAACTCAGTTTTTGCATTGAAGCTGATGATCGGGCGGGTGTTCTGCCCACGTCGCTGATGCGTATTGTCTTTGATTGAAGGACCTTCACTATAGCCATCAAAAACTACGGTTGCTTTTCCATAATGGCGAATGGTAAAGTCAGCATACATCCGTGCAATGGCACCATAACTGTCACCCTTTATCCATGGCAAGCGATGAACCAGGGAACCACCGTCAAGGACTGGATGATACTCTGGCACCTCTCTTTGGTGGCTCAACTTTCTTTCTTTTTTATATTTTCAATGTCTTTTGGATTGATGTACCTCTTTCGACATGTAATGTGTACTTTTTCACCAGCTGAAACGACTACATCATCCCCTCTTTGCACACTCGCACTCTTGATTCCATCAGCTCCCTTCTGACGAAGTTCAACCACATCAGAAACATCTAAGTCTTCATGGCAAATGGGGCAAGTCTCTTGGTTTACAGTGCTTGCACTCATGGTCAGGCCTGAAAAGATGCGAAAGTGAAGGTCATTAGCAAATAAAGTCAGTAAATAAATAATGTAAATAAACAGTCACACAAAGCAAATTGTATCTTGGATTTCACAATTATGTAATCATGTCGCTTTTTTAACAAGCCAAACAGATTCCTAGGCCACCAAAACATGGGGTTAGACATCAAAATTACTTCTCTAGGATGAATAATGAAGGAGTAACAGGCATTTTTAGGATTTGGTGGCTATTCGACGCCATCTTGAAAATTAGACCTTTCTCGTGGTCAGACTGTGGTAGACTTTTGATATGTTATTAAGCACACCTGATACTACAATAAACAATTGAGAAACCTTTTGTAAGAATTTTTTTAGGGTGAGGTGGGTTTTTTTTCATAAATGCAGCCGCCTACTGCTACAAACTTATTGATTCGGCAAGTTCTGAGAGTTTCATTGACAAGAGAGTGGCCCATCGGCTTAAGCTTCACATCAAACCCGTTTCCCAAAGTATAACCCTGGCAATGTCTTCTTCAACAGCTTCTGTGATAGGTGAATGTACGGTGGATCTCTATATGAATGACAGTCATTATCCAAACACACGTCTGGGCGTCATTGAGAATCTTTGTGGTGATGTTATTCTCGGCATAGATTTCCAAAAACAACACTCCTTAGTTACCATAGAGTATGGAGGACCCAGATCTGAGCTCAAGATTTCGAACATTGTTAACAAGCCTGTATGTAGCCTGGCATCAGCAGCTATGTCAGAACCACTGTTATTTGCAAACATGCGAGGAGATGCAAAGCCGATAGCCACCAAATCTAGGAAGTTTAGCCCTGATGACCAACAGTTCATTACCAAAGATATACAACGCTAACTGTCCGAAGGCATCAAAGAATCAAGTACATCACCTTGGCGTGCACAGGTGGTGATTGCAAGAGATGAATCATGCTGTCACAGAAAACGAATGTGCATCGACTACTCTTCTACGGTGAACATTTACACCAATCTCGACGCATTCATTGCCAAACATTGAAACCATGGTCAACACTCTTGCTAAGTACCACGTGTTCTCAACATTTGATCTAAAGAGTGCATACCATCAACTACGCATAAGCGAGTCTGATAAACCCTTTACAGCATTTGAAGCAAATGGCAGACTGTATCAATTCACACGTATACCATTTGGTGTTATTAATGGTGTTTCCGTTTTTCAAAGAACCATAGACAAGTTCGTGGAGGAGGAGAATCCATGTGACACATTTCCCTCCCTTGACAATATTACCATCTGGGTTACAACTTGGAAATGGTCAAATCAAACCAGATCTTGAAAGGCTAAAACCACTGCAAGAACTTCCACCACCTACAAAGCGATCGGCTCTTCAACGTGTACTTGGTATGTTTGCTTATTACGCTAAGTGGATTCTGGAGTTTTCAGACAAGGCATGGCCTCCCTACAAGGCTAAATCTTTTCCTCTGGACCGTGAAGCGCTCACAGCTTTTGATGACTTGAAGAAACTGCTTGGGGAAGCTGCCCTAAATAGCATTGACCATGCCATCCCATTTGTTGTGGAGTGTGATGCGTCGGATGTGGCCGTGTCTGCTACTTTGAATCAAGCTGGTCGGCCAGTAGCCTTCATGTTTCGAATGTTATCTGGCAGTGAGATTCACTATCCTCCTGTTGAAAAGGAGGTGACTGCAATAATTGAAGCTGTGAGAAAGTGGTCTCACCTGTTGTTGGGACGGCACTTCACCATTGTTATTGACCAGCGATCAGTTGCATTTATGCTGGACAGTCATAGGAGGACTAAAGTGAAGAATGACAAGATACAAGGGTGACGGCTCGAACTCGCTTGTCTTAGCTATTCCATTTGGTATCGGCTAGGTGGAGACAACGTTGTTCCTGACACTTTCACCCGAGTGTTCTGCGGAGCCATCTCATCGTCAAACCTCGCTGTCATCCATGAAGGGCTCTGCCACCCGGGGGTTGTCAAAATGCTTCATTTTGCCCGAACAAAGAACCTCCCATTTTCTACAGAGGATGTGAAAAAGGTCTGTTCAAATTGTCGTGTATGTGCTGAAATCAAGCCAACATTTCACAGGCCTACTGAAAATACCCTTATCAAAGCTACTCAACCAATGGATAGACTGAGCATTAACTTCAAAGGTCCTCTTCCATCACACATGAGAAACTCATATCTCTTCATTGCTGTGGATGAATATTCCAGATTTCCCTTTGCTATTCCATGTGCTGACATGACATCCTCAACTGTCATCAGATGTCTGGACACCATCTTCTCGCTTTGTGGTATGGCGAGTTTTGTCCACTCTGATCGAGGAAGTGCATTTATGTCTCGTGAAGTGAAAACTCATCTCGCTAGTCGTGGAGTGGCGTCCAGCAAAACTGCACCTTACCACTCAACAGGAAACAGTCAAATAGAAGGGTACAATGGCATAATCTGGAAGTCCATATGTTTAGCTGCCAAATCTCGAGATGTTCTGGATACTGAATGGGAGGCTCTCCTACCTGAAGCACTTCACTCCATTAGATCATTGCTCTCAACAGCCATCAACGTGACTCCACATGAGAGGTTTTTCAATTTTCCGAGACGATCTTGTCAGGGTACATTCCTGCCAAGGTCCTGTCTTCTTACGCCGATTCGTCCGCTCAAGCAAAGGTGACCCTCTCGTTGATGAGGTGGAGCTCCTCGAGGCTAACCCAACGTATGCACACATCAAGTATCCAGATGGACGTGAGTCTTCAGTTTCTCTCCGTGATCTTGCTCCATGCTCTAGTGGAACCTTATTCTTAGACATCTCTGCTGGATCAACCTCACCTTCAGTGGAGCCAGAAACATTGGATAATGGTGAGGAAGTTGCTGAAGAGGGAGATACCGGGACGACATTGCTGAATCCTAGTATCATGCAGGAGTTACCTCTTCGTCGTTCTACTCGGCAGCGAAGAGAACCCCAGAGATACGGCTATAATGTTTGATTGATTATGTTGGCAGGGGTGAATGTCATATTATGGAATAAATTATGTTTGTGTTTACCTTTACTCTAAATATTCTCTTGTTCTAATTGGGTTTTGTTTTGTTCTGTTGCAGATGTATATGGATTTATGAGCTGAATAAGGCCTTGATTACTGAAGGTGTTTGATCTCATACGACAAGGGTGACATGTGATTGATTGTCTACATCTGACAGCTGCATGTCTCTGTATTTTGGATAATAATTGATTGCCTTTACCCTTTATTACGCATTCCCGCGTGATGATTGGTTGTCTACATTTAACAGACTTACTTTCCTGAATACCCATTGGCTGACATCAACCATACTGGCCAAGTATCGTCGGATGGTAATTGGCTATCTGCACCTGGTGGCTGTATACTCTTTAACAGTTATTGGTCAACATCATTTACTGATTTCATGTTTCTGAGTGGTGATTGGTCCGGATTTACGAGACATTTGATGGTGGTGTCCTGCCGAGGCCACTTGCTGGTGCTGACGGTCCACACGTATGGTCTTTTTCTCTCTCAGTTGTTTTTCTTCTGTCGAGTTTGGACCACTTTTGTACTGAGATGATAGAAATGCACAGGTGATGGTAGTGTACAGGTGATGGTAGTGTACAGGTGATGATAGTGTACAGGTGATGGTAGTGTGCAGGTGATGATAGTGTACAGGTGATGGTAGTGTGCAGGTGATGGTAGTGTACAGGTGATGGTAGTGTGCAGGTGATGGTAGTGTACAGGTGATGGTAGTGTGCAGGTGATGGTAGTGTGCAGGTGATGGTAGTGTGCAGGTGATGGTAGTGTACAGGTGATGGTAGTGTGCAGGTGATGGTAGTGTGCAAGTGATGGTAGTGTGCAGGTGATGATAGTGTACAGGTGATGGTAGTGTGCAGGTGATGGTAGTGTACAGGTGATGGTAGTGTGCAGGTGATGGTAGTGTGCAGGTGATGGTAGTGTGCAGGTGATGGTAGTGTACAGGTGATGGTAGTGTGCAGGTGATGGTAGTGTGCAGGTGATGGTAGTGTGCAGGTGATGGTAGTGTACAGGTGATGGTAGTGTGCAGGTGATGGTAGTGTGCAAGTGATGGTAGTGTGCAGGTGATGATAGTGTACAGGTGATGGTAGTGTGCAGGTGATGGTAGTGTACAGGTGATGGCGGTGTGCAGGTGATGGTAGTGTACAGGTGATGGTAGTGTGCAGGTGATGGTAGTGTGCAGGTGATGGTAGTGTGCAGGTGATGGTAGTGTGCAGGTGATGATGGTGTACAGGTGATGGTAGTGCAGGTGATGGTAGTGTACAGGTGATGGTAGTGTGCAGGTGATGGTAGTGTACAGGTGATGGCAGTGTATAGATGATGGTAGTGTACAGGTGATGGCAGTGTATAAGTGAAGGTGGTGTACAGGTGATGGCAGTGTACAGGTGATGGTAGTGTGTGCAGGTGATGGTGGTGTACAGGTGATGGTAGTGTGCAGGTGATGGTAGTGTACAGGTGATGGTGGTGTGCAGGTGATGGTGAGTGTACGGGTGATGGTGGTGGTGTGCAGGTGATGGTAGTGTACAGGTGATGGTAGTGTGCAGGTGATGGTAGTGTACAGGTGATGGTAGTGTGCAGGTGATGATAGTGTGCAGGTGATGGTAGTGTGCGAGGTGATGATAGTGTGCAGGTGATGGTAGTGTACAGGTGATGGTAGTGTACAGGTGATGGTAGTGTACAGGTGATGGTAGTGTACAGGTGATGGTGCAGGTGATGGCCAGTGAACAGGTGATGGTAGTGTGCAGGTGATGATGGTGTACAGGTGATGGTAGTGTGCAGGTGATGGTGTGCAGGTGATGATGGTGTACAGGTGATGGTAGTATGCAGGTGATGGTGAGGTGTACAGGTGATGGTAGTGTACAGGTGATGGTAGTGTGCAGGTGATGGTAGTGTACAGGTGATGGTAGTGTACAGGTGATGGCAGTGTACAGGTGATGGTAGTGTGCAGGTGATGGTAGTGTACAGGTGATGGTAGTGTACAGGTGATGGCAGTGTATAGGTGATGGTAGTGTACAGGTGATGGTAGTGTACAGCTGATAGCAGGATACAGGTGATGATAGTATACAGGTGATGGTAGTGTACAGGTGATGGTAGTGTACAGGTGATGGTAGTGTGCAGGTGATGGTAGTGTACAGGTGATGGTAGTGTACAGGTGATGGTAGTGTACAGGTGATGGTAGTGTGCAGGTGATGGTAGTGTGCAGGTGATGGTAGTGTACAGGTGATGGTAGTGTACAGGTGATGGTAGTGTGCAGGTGATGGTAGTGTACAGGTGATGGTAGTGTACAGGTGATGATAGTGTGCGAGGTGGTGGTAGTGTGCAGGTGATGATAGTGTACAGGTGATGGTAGTGTGCAGGTGATGATAGTGTGCAGGTGGTGGTGAGTGCCAGGTGATGGTAGTGTACAGGTGATGGTGAGTGTGCAGGTGATGGTAGTGTACAGGTGATGATAGTGTGCAGGTGATGAGCCAGGTGTACTGGTGATGGTAGTGTGGAGTGATGGTAGTGTACAGGTGATGGTGAGTGTGCAGGGTGATGACCAAGTGTGCAGGTGGTGGTAGTGTGCAGGAGGTGGAGTGCGCAGGTGATGATAGTGTACAGGTGATGGTAGTGTACAGGTGATGGTAGTGTACAGGTGATGTTGGTGTACAGCAGGTGATGGTAGTGTGCAGGTGACCAGGCTAATTACAGGTGATGGTAGTGTACAGGTGATGGTAGTGCACAGGTGATGATAGTGTACAGGTGATGGTAGTGTACAGGTGATGGCCGTGTACAGTGGTAGTAGTGTACAGGTGATGGTAGTGTACAGGTGATGACCAGTGTGCAGGTGATGGTGGTGTGCAGAGGTGATGGTGAGTGTGGGTGATGTGGCAGTGTGCAGGTGTTGAGTGTACAGGTGATGGTAGTGTACAGGTGGTAGTGTACAGGTGATAGCAGGATACAGGCGATGGTAGTATACAGGTGTTGGTGTACAGGGTGATGGTGTGTGTACAGGTGATGGTGGTGTGCAGGTGGTGGTGTGAGTATACAGGGTGATGGTAGTGTACAGGTGTTGAGTGTACAGGTGATAACCTTGGGATACAGGCGATGGTGGTATACAGGTGATGTGGTAGTGTACAGGTGATGGTAGTGTACAGGTGATGGTGGTGTACAGGTGATGGTAGGTGTACAGGTGATGGTAGTGTACAGGTGATGGTAGTGTACAGGTGATGGTAGTGTACAGGTGATGGCAGGATACAGGTGATGGCAGGATACAGGTGATGGTAGTGTACAGGTGATGGTAGTGTACAGGTGATGGTAGTGTACAGGTGATGGTAGTGTACAAGTGATGGTAGTGTACAAGTGATGGTAGTGTACAAGTGATGGTAGTGTACAGGTGATGGTAGTGTGCAGGTGATGGTAGTGTGCAGGTGATGGTAGTGTGCATGTGATGGTAGTGTACAGGTGATGATAGTGTACAGGTGATGGTAGTGTACAGGTAATGGTAGTGTACAGGTGATGGTAGTGTACAAGTGATGGTAGTGTACAAGTGATGGTAGTGTACATGGTTGGCGACCCCGCTCCTCCACTCTTCAGTAAGTTTAACTTGCTCTCTCTACCAATTCTCCTATATTTTCTCTCTCTCTCCGAGGACCCCAACGTAGGATACTTCTCAACGCCGGTCACTAAGATTATAAGTGTATGATGTAGGCGGTAAGGCAGTCCAGATCTCGTCATCACTGTATCTGATCTTTCTCCCGTCAATCTTGTCATCATATTTGCTGTGATTATCATCCTATATGTTTGATCATCTCACTATTGCTCCATCCAAACATTTCCTGGATATTCTTGGAACATTTTGCTGTGGTAATTATTGTGTTTGGTCATCTTAACTGAGCTATGTCCAAACTCTTATCAGTAATAAAAATAAGTAAATGTATATTTTTGTAGAATCATATCCGCTAAATACCTCTAAATCGATTCATTCATCTGACTTACCCCGTGCTACAGTGTACACATCTACCACCAATCTTGAATAATTGTGGCAAACTGTAGAATTATTGATAGAAACTGGAAATTGACCATCCCCTCATTTGATCTCTCATACCTGTGTTTCACGAAGCACTGCTCTCTTCTGGTACCTTACTTGGCCCTGACCGGCTTGGTATGCATGAGGTGTGTTGGATGTAGCTCACGTCATCTCCAGACCATGTCCTGGTGACCTGACTGGTACGATTATTCCCCCCCCCCCACATCAACCCCAACTTCCAGCCTCCCTCTTCCTCCCCAGCCCCACCCCCCACCCCCCTCGGTACTCGGTAAGGTATGCCTGGTCCGAGCCCTTGGTTGCGCCATCTTCCGCGAGTCATGAGCGGTGTACCTAGCTTGACCACACCCCACTTAGCTCCGGGTTACTCGTCTCAATATGGCCGTGTGGCTCCTCCTCCTACCCCACCCATATCTTCCCTACCCCGCCCACACCTTCCCTCCCCCGCCCACATCTTCCCTACCCCACCTACAACCTACTAACTCTACCCACATTTTTCCCTCCCTACTCCATATCCACCACACTTACCCCACCCACAACTCCTTACTCTATCCACACCCTCCCTACTCTACTCACATCCCGCTACTCGACCCATACTCTTCCTATTTTACCTACGCCATCCCTACCTCACCCGCAGCCTCTCTACTCCACTCACATCCCCTTACTCCACTCATACCCTCCGTACCCCGCCAACACCGTCCCAACGCTGCTGTAGAGTAAATGCCATTTGGATATCTACAGTAGATGATTTATCCCGTGTTTTAATCACCATAAGCGTGATGGTGGGGAACACGGCCCCTGTGGCGCACAACATGATCATAATGGCTCACTCATTTAAGGGGCGGCTCTGCGGGTTTCTAAGAAAAACCACCCATCGTGTAGACTGTCACCAGGTCTTCCTCGTGCCCGCCAACAGTGTCTTGCC